GGGTGAAACGGTGGAAGGTACCCTTTGTCCAGGGGTGGACACACACACACACGGACGGGGAGGGTTTAAAGATGAAGGATGGGGTGGGGTGGGGGGGATGGGGTGGGGTGGGCGGGGGACAAGGGCATATAGAAAAACGTATTCATATACCACACCTGTTTTTTCTATACTCAAGAAAAGGTTAAAAGATAAAGGATGGGGCGGGGTGTGGGGTGTGGTGGGTTGCAGTTAGCAACCAGACAGTGCGACTCTGAAGACGCGTTCCGAAGCGATCACATTCCCGTGTTCCAAAGCGATCGTTTTTCTGCGTTCCGAAGCGTCTTGCCATGCACAAATAGCAAATCGATGCCCACACACACATTGAAGTCATAAGTTCTTGGAGTGGCTGATGGCAATCTGGTGGGCTGACGTTTCTCCAGCCGGCAACCATCACATGAACTCAGAAGATGACCCTGAATGCAAAACCTTTCAAAACTGCAACTTTCTTAATCCCATCCATGTCATGTCATCAGCAAAAAGAGCAAAACCAGCAAACATAAACTACAAACGCATATTAAAAAGTGCACCCCCACAGCGTCCTGCTCTCTTTGTTGAATATACACGGTCTTGGTCAAGGCCAATTCACTGTTAGCGGTTATAGGATAGAAGTGAAGCCCATGTTACGAGAAAGGTTGCATTGAGCAGGACATTAACAGTCCGGGGGCAGGGTTGAAGTTAGCGGGCGATTCACAGGTCGAGGGGGGGCGCCCTTTTCTTACGCTGAAAACGGGCACCCCTAAGTAACGAGGGGCGCTTGCCTGCTGTTTGTTTCTCCTGTCTTGTACCTGGACTCATAAACTCGGCGCTCACTTAAGAGTGGACCGATGAAAGTTTACTGCCAAGATCAGATGATTGTAAAACATCGAGCCGAGCAAAGATTACTGTTGTTACGGCGTGAAGTCGACATTACACTCTGCTGTTAGGGTCGAGGGAAATAGAAGGCAGAGAGGCGCAAAGTCTCGCATTCAGGGTCGATCTGATAGGCTCTCTATATATAGTTCCCATCCCTTTTGTGAATAAGGACTTGTTGTCATAGAATGAGTTGAATTTGCAATTACTTCTACTCTAAATTAGCCACGGAAAAACCGAACCTTTAAAAAAACGCGGAGTCTCGCTTGGAGGTCCTATCAGGAGCTAGAGTCCAAATTTTGCACGTCTCAATTCTTGTTGCCCCGTTAGCCAGTGGTTGCAAACTGGATTTGACTTATTTAAATATAGTCAATTGGCGTGATCCACTATGCTCCCACATGCCGTAAAGTGCTGTGGGAAATCAAACAGCATAGAAAAGACCACCCGCAAAACAAGTCTACCTTGCATATTCAGTGATGAAGAGCCTCAGGTACAGAATCACTCACATATTGCAGAATGAGTGAAGTAGGCGCAGAATCACATCGTGAGTTTATCACGTTTTCAAGTCTGATATAACACCTTATAAAGCTCGCAATCTGGGCGATAAAACAGTGAGAACACCATCACCAGGAAAACGAAGAAGGTAGAATGAAGTTCCGAAACATACACGAAACAAACTGTAGTCCAAATGATAGTAATAATAGAACAACCATGAATAACTTTTGCCATGTCCCCTGATAAGTTTTCTAGCCTTTTTACGAAAGCCGCCCGATAGGCTAGGCCGGAGTTGTCGATGGGCGAACGAAGTGAGTATTGGGGGTGTGGGGGGGGCTTTTAATCTTGAAACTTGAAAAGGGCTGATAACCGGATGAAAAAGTGGGGCCCGACTTTTGGACGAATCGAAATCTATCCTATGACAGGTAATGGCGGCCGGGAGTTGAGCCAGGCATTGTGTATATAGGCCCTAAGACATTTCAATATCGAATTCTTGAGCAAACACAAAAGCCGCCCGCGCCGAAGGTGCTGAGGCGTTTTGCTTGGGTGTGTGTGTGTGTCACCCTTGGAGTCAGAGGGATCCTTTTGGATTTGTTTGCTTTCCTTTTATTATTTCCAAAGCAGGAGAGTAACCAAGGTTCCTTTGAGAGACACAGCATTTCACTGGGACTGTGTCCAACGAAGCTACCAGTGAAATGGGATATCCAGCTTGGCCAGCTGGACGTACCTGCAATTTTCCATCTTCCAATGGCGAGAGGCTAAGCCAAGAACCTCGAAACTTTGATGCGAACGACACGCCGTCAACCTGTTCGAATCGCGATCGCCGCTCTTTCCTTTTCCCTTTGGCCACCTCTCCGTTCGAAGACCCTCAGGTTTCGCTGGTTCCCTACTGATACTCTTAGGAAATGGAACCCTAGGCCGGCGTGTGGCACCGCTGTCAAGTCAGTACGCATATCCATGAGTGTGTTTGGCTTCGTGCCAACCCGGGATGAGCCCGCAGAGTGCCTCCCGTGGACCCGTTGAACGGGCGTACGTCCATGTTCCCCCGGCTTTGGGAACGCAGATGTCCGCAGCGGACAGCAGGTGGCCGCGGCCGTACGTCCGATGATTTTTGTCCCGTTTTTGGAATTCCAAGTTGGCTCATGCCTTTACGTGACCGCAGTGGTCAAAGCAGCCAGCCATTTCGGCAAGGCACAAGGTGACCACAGCGGTCAAAGCCGGTTTCTAGGTTCATTGGAACCTGTTGGAGCCTTAGTTTTTTCAGTTGACAGCCTACCAGACTTACCGAGAGATCCGTCAGTTCACCTAGTCTCACCTTACTTCAGTGCGGAGCTTAAAATCCCGCCTCCCTTCGGGGAGGCGTGTGTGTGTCACCCTTGGAGTCAGAGGGATCCTTTTGGATTTGTTTGCTTTCCTTTTATTATTTCCAAAGCAGGGGAGTAACCAAGGTTCCTTTGAGAGACACAGCATTTCACTGGGACTGTGTCCAACGAAGCTACCAGTGAAATGGGATATCCAGCTTGGCCAGCTGGACGTACCTGCAATTTTCCATCTTCCAATGGCGAGAGGCTAAGCCAAGAACCTCGAAACTTTGATGCGAACGACACGCCGTCAACCTGTTCGAATCGCGATCGCCGCTCTTTCCTTTTCCCTTTGGCCACCTCTCCGTTTGAAGACCCTCAGGTTTCGCTGGTTCCCTACTGATACTCTTAGGAAATGGAACCCTAGGCCGGCGTGTGGCACCGCTGTCAAGTCAGTACGCATATCCATGAGTGTGTGCGCGCGTGTGCTTTTTTGCTCTAGAATCCTCCGCTTTTGGCCTTTTTTGAAAAAAAAAAGCTGGAAAATCCAACGAAGTGACTAACACGAGCGTCTTAACAGGGCCAAATGTGGCTCAACCTGGGCCACATAGGCTCAACTTGGCTCAAGATAAGCGTTTGTTAGGCAGCAAGTAGACCCACAAAGACTCCAAGATGGACCCATCTTGCCAAGATGTGTCCCAAGATGGGCTTGTGAGGCGCCTGTTTAGATATCCAATTCATTGTCTTTTCTTTCCGCAACAGGCAATCTACCAAATTATGGTGAAGATAGGTAGGTTTCGGGAGGTGCATTTGTTAAGTAAAATACTGCGTGGTTGTGCATGTTTCGCCCATCGGCTGACATTCTGCAAGTTGGTAAAAACAGGTCCGAAATTGCTGAAGACAAGGCCCGCTATAGATCCCAAGATTGCGCAACATGGCTTGTCGTTGCCTAAATAAGCAACACACCTTGGGGTCCATCTGGAGTCTTTGTGGCTAAAAGCAACAATCACACACCAGCCGAAATGGAACCCCCCTTTCGAAAGAAAGTTTTTATTGCTGATTCTGGGCTCAGATCCAGGCTGTAGCTGACAACATTGGGCTGGAGGTGATATGTAGGACCGATCCTTTCCAAGAGACTCAGGGCACCTCAAGGGAACTGTGCACAATTGTTGCGAACGGTGTGGGACGCGTGGGACTGTTGAATAATTCTGTGCAGTTGTTGTCCTCAGACCAAAGCTCTGCCATTGCCCTCCTTTGTCACACGCAGTGAGTAAAGCGTTGCACGTCACCTTCAAGTATTTCGTATTGCCAGTCGCCGCAATACTCTTGCACACTTGGCTACACATTTTTCAAGGACGCAAACCGAAACCGCCGACAATCCAAGCGCGCCCACTGTATCTGGCGTCAATGAGTAGCCTAGGCTTCTGATTCCTTTGCAACAAACCCAATGTATGACATGCTCTGTTTGCTACATCAAGTTGCGCTCGATGTCAGCGAACAAGGCCACTGCGGCTTCCCACTGCTGCGCTCTCCTGGCAACGGTTTCACTCTCCGCGCTACCTGCAACTACACGGAGTGGTTTTTCACAAGGCAATGAATCGGGTTCCAATTAACAAACTGGGTGAAAAGAGATAAACAACATTCAACTCACTTGACCACGTTATCATTTTGGACTTTCTTCGCCCACGCAAGACTGCAGCACGTTGGGGCTCAACCAAACAGAGCCGCAGCAAACGTAAAACTAATCAAAACAAACAGTTTGATGTCAACAGCGACATTTTTTGCGATGATATTGTCAACAGGAAGGTTAGTTCCACAACCAACCAACCAACCAACCAACCAACCAACCTTTGCAATGATCTGACACCGAGGCACAACTTGGTTGGTCCCCAATGCAGGAAAACCAACCAACCAACCAACCAACCAACCAAAAAGCAAAGATAACAAGTACTACCGTTGCCACAACCCACGCAAAATATACAAAACGAGAGCAGCAACTCCAACCACATCGTGTAGCGTGTATAGGTGGCAAGTGCACCACACAAGCCAGCCGTTCCTGGCCACCTGGCATGGAAATAATCAGAAGAAGTCCGCCACCACTGCTGGGAGCTCAAAAGCCGCGTCCAAGGCTGCAACAAAGCCTTCTTGGCTGCCAGGAAAAGTTTCAACTTGTCGGGCTGGGGGGCAAGCACAGCTTCCAAGACGCTGGAGCGCAGGAGAGGCCTCGCTCTGATGATGTGGCATGAATGGGTGTAGGCCTCCACAACCAAACCGTTCTCCAAGAAGTTGGCCGGCCCATAAATCTTGGCTAGGCCTGGCGTGAGCCGGTCGCTGGTCCGGTTGATGAGGTATATAGATCTTGTTTTGAAGCCATTCGCGGGCCCAAACCTTGGAATAGCCCGGACGCATGCGACTGAGTCGCCGCCACAGGCTGCCGCTGATAGGTGGCGAACAGGCCTCACATACAGTACCTCACAAATGACAAAGGAACATAGGCCACTCAGCGCTCGAACTCTAATCTGTAACCCAAGCGTCATCAAAGAGACTAAGACTCCGCAAAGGCGCCGGCCGAGGGCCTCAACCAACCAAGCTAACGGGAAGCCTGCGCCCCCCATCCGTGATGAAAACACTGCGACGCACCACCCGCGTAGCCCACCAACAACAAACATTGTGATGGCAAAGGCTAGTCCGCTTTGAGTAGGCAACAAACAATCTCCACATCAAACCGGAACCGCGTCCATTCATCAGGGGCGCGAAGGCTAGCACTGAGCAAGGTGCCACTTGGTGATCTTCTTGATTCTTGGCGTTAAATTAGGGGCATGACCGTTGATAGCTCGCTCCATCGAACGCACGCTGGCAAGATCTGGTCACATCTGCTAGCCCCCAAGACTGTTCCTTGCACGTCAAGCACACTCGTCGGGCTCTTGCGTTTGAAAAAGCTTGCCTTCACGGCAACGCCCGTAGAAGAAGGCTGTCATTCTCCGCACTGCGCTCCGCTGGATGAATATATAATGCATCCAAGAACTCCACCACACCACTCTCCACAGCAAGGGCTTGCCCCCGGGCTTGGAAAGCTTCTTCTGGGAGTCCAGCTTCAACTGACGCACTAGCCACGCGACGGGGCACAGCTCCCTGCGCCATACTCATGCTCTGCAAAGGTCCTAATCTGCACCTCAGTCTGAAATGCAACATGGACACCGGGAACAATTGCCATATGTTTGTGATCCCACACAACTCACTGAACCAATCCTCAGGCAAAAACTCCTCTGTCCTTCTTGAGCCAGAATGTACAAATGAATGTTGCGATGATAGCCGTGGCCCAAGCCTGCCCTAGACTCGACACTGTCATATAGTTAGGTGGTTGCACACACCATCACACACCTGACTCAAGTAGTTTCCGAAAGTCTGGACTCTTGAAGAGTATTTCTCGGCAGACGGCGCCGGGGAGCCCCGAAGTTGCTGATATATGGTTTTGCAAGTTGTTCTTTGTCCAAGAACTGGCACAGCTGACAATCGTTTCAATATTGAAAAATCCGTGACAACCCATCCAATCAGTCCAATCTTTGATATTCATGGACACGGTAAGTTCGTCCGGATGACTGCACAGCAGACAAGGTCGCATTGAAGGCATGCACCGCAACTGCGGTCTCTAAGTGCATTGCCTGCCCAGCACAATCAACTCTCTTTTTGGTTTGCTTTTGTAAAAGCAAGCCTCGAACAGCGCCAAAGTATCTGTCCATAGGCCAACGTGGCCTAAGGAACTCATAGCGACCTCATGCCAGTTGCAGGTTTCCAGTCAGGTTCCATACAACAAACACTCGGCCACAAGGCGCTGCTTCGCCATAGGCCCAGACTACCCAATCCCGTGGATCTTTTAGCAGCTGCCTTCGCTGGCACCTGCTTCTGTCAAGAAGCCGGATAAACGAGAGCACCTGCGCACCACAAACGAGCCAGCAGAACTCTGAGACGATGAAGAGCACCTGCGCGCCCACGCATCCACGAGTAAAAGGATTAAGACGAAATGAATTACAGAGCAGCTAGAGCCCGAGAAAAAATACAGGTAAGGGCAGCCCCTTTCATAAAGCCCCTTCAAAGTGTTTCTCTTCTTTTTCCTAGACATTGATGCTGGACTTGACGCCGGAGTGAGAAGCGTTAAAAAAGGAAACCTTTTTGCGCCTCCTGAGGCGTTGCTTTGCTTTTCCGCAGCCCATGAAGCCTGGAGCGAAGCAGCCAGGCCATGAGCAACTGTGACCGCAGCTTGGAGGCCTTGCAAACACCTCGCGACGGGCATTTTCCGCCCATAAATGCAATCCTGGGCCAGCACCTGCAAAAGAAACAAACAACCCTGCCGCACAAACATATGAACCTTCGTTGTCACTCAACAAACGTGAACTGCCTGAAAAAGACCTTCTTGCCGCGGCCCAGAGAAACTGCGAATGTCTTAACGATGCCAGCCTGCAACTTCGTTTTTTTGACAGGCTTCCAAGATATGTACCACATGACTGCTGCACTCGCTGCGTGTGGCACCTTAAAACTCTCGATCGCGCTTGCAAGGGCAACACAGGCATTCAAGTTTGGCATCTAGCAGTGTCTTGCCCGTTCTAAGTTGGCGCGTTGCTCGGGCAATTTGACGTGAGCGTTACCGTGTTTCTGTGTTACCTTGCTCGAACAAGTTGAACAAGTTACGTAAAACATGTTGCCAAGAAGAAACTGACAGGTATATGCGCAAGGCATCTTTTGTGGCTCTGTCTGTGAGCGTGCAATTGATTAGAGGAACCAGGCCGCTGCATGACTGACGGGCGCATAAACAAAAAACACCACAAAGTAACAACGCGTTTGTCGACTTGGTGGCACGTCTTCACTGCGGTGAAACTAGGGTTTGAATCCGCCTGAGCTTCCTGCTGGCGAGCTCACTGAGTTCGCCAGCAGGAAGCTCAGAAGTCTCCCTTTGAATCCTCGGTCAAAGGATAAAGCTGAGCTGAGACCGTCAAAGGAAATAGGAATCGTCACCACGCGAAGCTTGACGAGGCACAGCCGGCCACCGACAGCAATGGCTTTCCTTATCCCGACTGGTCGGTGCGCCTGCTCAACATGTTCAAAGGCGAGTTTGCATACGACTCTTGTCGTATAGGCGAATTGCCCCCTGTCAAAAATCTCACTGAACCTCACGCATCAACTCACTCCAATTGCTCTCACTTATCGGCGCTCGCAAAAATGCTGTAGGACATGTGCAGACGGGATGCTCGTCATCCTCCAGATCATCCAATATGTGTATATATATACATGGCGCACAGGAATCCCTCTATGGCCGGGCTTCGGAAGAAACTGCTTGGATCACGGCTTCGGTGCAAATTGCGCCAATATGTCTGACAAACCAAGCGTGTTCAGCGCGCAACCACTGCAGTGGCTTTTCTGACGCCGACCCAGCCATATAAACGATCTCGCCCCGGTCACAAACCTTCATTGAACCGCACACGTGGGCTCACCCAAACTTGGACCAGCGCTGGCAAAGATGCCAAATGACATGTCCCACAAGGGACGCTCGTCATCGAGCAGCTGCAACCACCTCATCGTCTAGCTCCTCAACATAAATTTTGGATGAGGTGAACAACGATGGTGTTGGCGACAACGTCTACTGTATGTCATCATAAATGTTGCCCGCAACTCGGGCGTTGTCCTCGTAGTTCAACTTTGGCATGTATGAGGCGCACACAACACAATGTGGACCGATGGAAAAAGAAGCGACGTGAATAACGCCGCTCATTGTTCCATTCGTCTGCCATTCCACTCCTGGCCCCATCAGGAAGATGCAGGACCAAAATCTATGCGCAGGCGGCAGTGCTCTGCAACTGCAAAGAGTTCGGAAATAAGCCGAACTAAGGCATTTAAGCAATGTCTTTCCCATTCAGGCACCTTCAGGCTGAGTGTTTCTCTTTTAGGGCAATCAATTAGCTTGCAATGTAACAGGCTCTGTGTGCAAGACGGCTCTTGTGGCTCTCTGCGTATATGTGTCTGCCTTGATTGGATGATTTGAAGAACAGGCAGCTACATGATTGACAAATCCTGCGCGCGCAACCGGCTCACAAGCACAAAACGCAACACAAAGCAACAACGCCTTTATCGACTTGATGGTATACACAATGAAGAATGTCATTGACACGCGCTGACCTCTTTAGGTCTCAGCGGTGAAACTGGAGTTCGGCAAGAAGCTCAGAAGGCTCCCTTTGAGTCCTCGATCAAATGATACAACTGAGGGCGTCAAATGAAATAGGAACCGTCACAACACGAAGCTTGACGAGGCACAGCCGGCCAGCGGGGCTTGCACCAGAAGTTCAAGCAGTTCCTGACAAAGCCCTGGTCAAAGGGATTCCTGCACGCCAAATCACGCCAATGTGTCTCACAAACCATGCGTCTCCACCGCGCCACCGCTGCAGTGGGTTTTCTGATCCCGACTGGACGCTGCGGCTGTTCTTGTCATAGACAAACTCTCCGCGGTAAAAATTTCATTGAACCAAAGGCGTGGAGTCGCTCTCACTTTTCAGCGCTCGCAACAATGCTCTACGACATGCACAAACGGGACGCTTGTCATCCTCCAGCTCCTTGACATAAATATTGTCGCCCATACTGGTGTTGTTCGCCTCGCAGTTCAAATTTGGCAGCCAAACGCACGAACCTTGATTTCACATGAGGTGCATGCAACGTAGTGCTGGTTGCTCTTCCACTCTTGCGCCAACTCGTTCCTGCGTCCCATCAAGAAATTACAAAACTGGGCGGCGCTCTGAAGTGGAAAACCAACCAGTTTGGATAGCGCCTGGAGACCAAGCCAAAATGAATTTTCATTGTTGGCCTGAGTCTGAATCAGCACGTGAAAAGCTTGCGTCACCATGGTGCGTCGCTGAGGAGACTGCCCAGCAAACGCCAGAAGGCCCACGGAATAACCCAAATGCAACCTGACAGATTGAGAATTCTCCATATCATGAAGCACTCTCTATCGCTGTCTCTCTGTGGGCGCGACGCAATGGCTATCTCTGCGTCCATTGATCCCTGCAACAAATAGCGCTTCGCAGATTGGAGGCCATCGCTAGTAGGCCCATCCCTAGTAGGTTGGAGGCCTTCGCTAGGTAGGTTGCAAAGCACAGGCAGAAAGCACAAGCAAAGCGCCAAGAGCGACCTTCTCGGCCAGCAAAAATGGCAAGCCAGAGGTCCATGATAACGCCGAGCCTCAGAGCAATGGGGCCCTCCTGGCGTCTGTTCTGCGGCAGGCTTGTTTTGAGTTGAACTCATGCGAGCGGCGATCTAGGCCTCTTGCATGTGGTAAAGGATATTGCAAGGGGGGTCGATTCTTGTTGCCGACCCTATCGTTTTTGCAGGTCTGCGTTGATTTGGGGAATCAGCACTCCCAACATGAAGGCCTGCAGCCATGCAACCACAATGGCCACTTCTTTTTACTGGTTGTCAGAGTCCCACATGTGACACAAGGCGTTCTATGGTTTCCTTTCCTTATGAGGCCCATGTGTGGAACACATGTGGACCTCTGGCCTTGTGGGCCGAAACAATGCCCAAATATTCGTACGGACTGGAAACCGTACCCTACTTTGCAGGCTCTGATGTCAAATTCATTGGTAAACGCAGTGCTTTGTCATGTGTTTTGCAAAAACATGTTTTTTCGCGACACCTCAAGTTGCCTGTTGTTTGTGCAACTAGCTGTCCCGCGTCGGGCTCCGAGCGCAAGTCTTTTTCATCGGCGCCATTGTCAAGCAAATTCAGCGGCGTGCCCATCTGCTACAACTACGCAACAAACGCCAACTTAACACCAACAGTCACCAACAGAAAAGGAGTTAGTTCTTGTTTTTCGAAAAAGAAAACCTCAACCACACATTGCACCACAGTGTGAACAACGAAAGACGTGTTTCTAACACCTGCTCCCAGTCTACCCATCCACGATCTGAACCCAAAACTGTTTCGTGAACAAAAGAAACTAAAGGGTCAGAACAATCACACCACAAAGGAAGAAAACGCACAACAACAAAAAAGAGGAGGGCAAGGAACACCCGACAAGCGAAACAACGAAACTAAAGCGCACACCGTGGCTACTTCTTGAGCCTTCACGCTCATGAGACGTATGCGAGAACAAGAACGAAATTACAACACCCCCCATGTTTTCTGTTTTTGGGCCCCCGTTGACACTATTGCTTCAACTTGGTTATCGTGCGATATGCTCTTACGCAATGCATTGACAGGCCATAACATTTTCAAGGTACGCGCGTGTGAAAACAGCCGCTCGATCGCCTTCGCTCACTCGCTCTTGTGAACCCTGTTGGCCTTTGATTTGAATCCAGGGATACTGTGCGTCACACGCTCCACTGAGAGGAATTTGACCCTCACACCCCCCCCCCCACACCATGGAGTACAAAAATGTCAGAAAAAGTGGGTCCGGTTTCCAGTCCCTACACTCAAAAAAAGATCAGAATGGTGTCATTTTGTATATCGTCGAATCGTTTGCCATGCTGAAAATTCCGCCAGAACCCTGCTGCTTTGAGGCAACAAAGACAGCAAGGTAACATCCAAGGGAACGCAAAGCATATATCCTTGTAAAAAAGACACATCACTCCACTGTTTTTTCGGATAGTGCGTTGGAACAAGGACAGGTTTTGGTAGGCGCTCATTCATGTCTCTCTTCCAGTCAGACTAGGCCCAAAACAGCGCTATGGCGATCAAACCTGGGCGATTCAGGATCGACGTGCTTTCAAAACCTCAAGCCTGAAAAGAACCAAATTTTCTTCTGAAGGGCCCCGAAGGACCGCACGTCCAGCCCTGCAAAAAGGAACAGTTTTGACACGATCAGAAGGAGACTGAGGTTGGTGCCAATGATGTTTTCACCCACTTGCCGGGACAAACTTGATACTTCAAGACTACAGAACACAACGTTTCTTCTGTTGAATCCACGAGGCAGTAATGGTCATAACGGCGAATTGGATGCTTATACTGCCACGACCTGAAGCTGGACAGGATCACACGCAATGTGATTGAATGCGCATGATATATGCGATACACGCTTTGGATCGCTTTGGGGTATCTTCCACAGGTTGACACAGTCTCAGTCTGGCACAGTCGAGGAAGCCAGGACCTTACAGGTGGCAGCTACTGCGTTCAGAAATTTTGACTCAAAGGGTCTGACTGCACTCGTACAATTGTTTGGGCACAGGGCCGCTGGAAGAACTGGCTTGCAGTCGACGCAGAAAAATACATATTCCGAATTGCTTGGCAAGCACGCCATACTGCGCACAAACAAAAAGATATGGAATCGGGCACCCAGACATGTCTTCGGCAACAGACCTCTCCTCATCTGGCTCATCTTCTTCCTGCATCCCGGCGCGTTACAATTAAATCTTTCTGAGACAACACGACCCAACTGGTCGAAGTCACAGTCGCGCCCTTCAATCACCTAATTTTAAAGGTCTAGTGGCAACACGCGTCTTCACATACAGTTTTTTCTCATAGGCGGCGCGCCTCCTTCTCTTTGGCAACAAAACTGTCCTCGGCATATGGTTCAAAAATCCGTTTCAAA